GATAAAAACCTCTTAAAAGGGGTGGGTCCCTGATTTTTTTTCACCAGATGACAGAAAAGTCTTTGATAGGCAATATTAAAAGAAAAGGGAGAATCAATATGCTATCTGACAGAATTGGCATCCAAAAATTTATAGGCTGGTGTCAAGGACTGACACTCACCAGAGGAAAAGAACAAAGGATGATACATGTAGTAAGGACTTGTACTTCAGTCCAGAAATCATTTCCCAAATTCAAGATGGGAAGCCACAGTTTACTGTCAGCACAGGAATACTAGGTTCAAAAGGAATGAATAGTGAGAGATGTTAATAAGCAGACAAGATTAAATTTAAGATCTTGGAAAGTCAAATAAGAAATACAAAAGCAAGCAGTGATAGCCCTGGACAAGTTTTGCGCTGAATGTAGTTCTTAGCATAACACTTCAAAAGGAACATGGACAGACAGATTAGCGGCTGTAGAGCGGGCTTGGGATTTGCAGGGCCAAGGGGCTTCCCGGGTTCTCTTGTCTTAAGAGGCCATTCTTCTTCCCACTCCAGGCAAGGCCACCGATGAATACGATCGCTGTGTGGAGACAAGTCCACAGGCTCACTCTGCCTTTAGACTGTGAAATCTTCATCCACAAAGGACTGTAAACAAGCTGGGGCCAGGCCCATCCACAGTAATTTTTTGATGGGCCTTTTGTTTTTATCTCCTTTGCTTCACCTATTTTGGGGCTCTGTTGTTACATGCATAAATGCCTGTAATTATTACATCTTCTTGATGGATTGATGTTTCCATCATTATAAAATGTCTTTCTTTGTCTCTAGTAATAATTTGGTCCTCAAGTTTACTTTGTCTGATATTACTATAGCCACATCAGCTCTCTTTTGGTTACCGTTTGCATGGTGATATCTTTTTCTATCCTTTTCTTTGTGTCTTTGAATCTAGAGTCTCTTAAAGACAGTATATATTAGAATCGTATGTTTAAAAATATCTGTTCTACCAATCTCTGCCTTTTAATTGGTGTTTAATCCATTTATACTTAATGTACTTACTGATAAGGTAGGATCTACGTGTGACATTTTGCTATTTGTTTTCTGGTTTTGGGGTGGTTTTTGTTCCTCCATTCTTCCATCACTGCCTTCTTTTGTGTTATTTTTTGAGTACTATTTTAATTTCCGTCATTTCTTTTACTGTATTTTAAAATTTATTTTCTTGGTGGTTGCCCTGTAGATTTTAACTAACATATTAATTTATAACAATCTAGTTCAGCTTAATGTCATCTTAATTTCAAGAGAATCCCAAAACTTTGCTTCTGTATAGCTCTGTTTCTTCCTCCCACCTTTCTGCTGTTATTGTCATACAAATTATATCCTTTATACATCATGTGCCCATCAACATAGATTTATAACTATTGCTTTATACAGGTCTTTTTTAAAATCAGATGGGGGGGGAAGAGTTACAACAGAAAACATGTCTATACTGTCTTTTGTATTTATCTATACTCTTAAACTTGCTTTTACTGTGACTTTTTAATTTTTCACATGGATTCAAGTTACTATCTAGTGTCTTATCATTTTAGCCAAAAGACTCTCTCTACTATTTCTTATAGAGCACATTTCCTAGTGACCAGTTTTCTCAGGTTTTATTTCTCTGGGAAGGTCTTAATTTCTCCCTCGTTTTTGAAGTATAGTTTTGCTAGATACAGAATTCTTGGCTGACAGTCTTTTTGTTTTAACATTTTGAATATGTCATCTCACTGTCTCTGGCCTCCACGGTTTCTGATGAGAAATCACCAAATTCCTTTTAAGTGACGAATGCTTTCTTCCTTGATACTTTCAAATCATTCTGTCTTTGACAGAATCCCCTGAACTTCTTGCACATGTAGAGTAATGCTTTTTGTCAAATGTAGGGAGTCAGCCATTATTTATTCACATATTATTTCTGCCTATTTCTCTTTCTCCTCTCATTATACGTATGTTGGTATGCTTGATGGTGTCCTACAGGTCTCTCAGGCTGTTCATTATTCATCCTTTTTTCTTTCTGTTCCCGAGACTGAATACAGTCAGCTCTCCATATGCTCAGGTTCTGTATTAGCAGATCAAAAATATTTGGAAAAAATGTTCCAGAATGTTCCAAAAAGCAAAACTTGAATTTGCTGCATGCTGGCAACTATTTACAGAGCATTTACATTGTATTTACAACTATTTGTGTGGCATTTACACTATGTTAGGAATTATAAGTAGTTAGAGATGATTTAAAGTATATGGAGGATGTGCACAGGTTATATGCAAATACTGTACCATTTTATAAAAGGGACTTAAGTATCTGTGGATTTTGGTATGTATGGGGCAAGGGGGGGGTGTGGAGGTGGTCCTGGAACCAATTCCCAATGGATACTGAGGGATGACTGTAATCTCAATATTTTCTTACACCTGCTCAAATCTGCTTAGTGAATTTTTCACATCAGCTATTATGTTTTTCAACTCCAGAATTTCTTTAAAAAAAAAATTCTATTTCTTCATTGGTATTCTCTATTTGGCGAGACATACTTCCGTTTAATTCATGAATATAGTCAAAACAGTTTATTTTATCAGTTGCCTCCTCATCCAGTGTATAGGCCACAGTTTCCTGTTTCTTTGTATGTCTCCTAATTTTTTGTTGCAAACTGAACATTTTTACCAATATACTGTGGTAACTCTGGAAATTAGATTTGCGTCCTTCTTCAGGGTTTGTTGTTGGTGGTGTTTGCTGTTCTTATGTGACTTTCTAAACTAATTCTGAAAATCACATTCTTTGTTGTGTGTGACCACTGACATGTCTACTAAATGAGCTTAGTGGTCAGCTAATGATTGGGTAGAAGTTTCTCTAAACACCTAAAACCAATGTAACAACGAACCCCTTGTCAAAATCAGTTTTTGCCAAGGGATTCTGCATGTGTGTTGGGGCATGCATTAAGCACCTGATCAACAATTCTGCCTTAGCTTCTACTTTCTGCTTGCACAGAGCCTCATGGTTTGCTAGAGGTGAGAGCTTAGGACCTTCTCAGGTCTCTTCTAAGCATGCACAGAGTCCTATGCATGAATATGACCTTTTAGATCCACAAAAATATGTCAGAGCTGTTCAAAGCCCCCAGAGAAATCTCATTTTCCAGCCTTTCCTTTAAGCTTTTTGGTTAGCATATTGTTTGCCCCAACTGTTATCCACCGCCTCAGCTGGCTACACGAAGTTAATCAATCATCTCTGTTTTAAACAAACACCCTAGGAGGAAAGAAGGCTTTTCACACTGAGTGAGCTCCAAGCCAGGTAATGACAGTCTTGCAAGTGGGGGTCTTCAAGGGAACCACTAGAGAAGGCACATAATAAGAATTCTCTGGGAGTGAGGCTGTGAAGGAGCTCCAAGTCTGTTCTGCCTTCTCTTGGGCTGCCAAGCTGCTGGTCCTCATCAAAATTGCACGCTACTGGCTTCCAAGGCCACTGTGGAGCTGGAGGTGGGGAGGGGAACAGGGCAAGTCAAATTACCACAGAGCTCTTCTTACCAAGACTCAGGCATTTTTCTTGAAGAAATGCTCCTTGGATTGCTACTGCCTATGGTTAATTTTCAGAGCTCTAAAAAAGTTGATTCTGACAAGTTCCATCAGTTTCATCAATTGCTTTCATGGAGAGAATCTGCAGAAGTCCTTGTTTCACCATTTTTCCTGATGCCACTCTTCTTTATCTTTTTTTTTTCTTCCAGCTTTTAGCACCTGGTCTTAGTACCTCTAAACTTTCACATATCAAATTTTTCATCTTAACATTTTATTGACATTTATTTATTTGGCTTGTTTGTTTTTTTGTTCGTTTGCTTGTTTTCAAGCTTTATTGTAATATTCCCCCTTACAACTGACTTCTATAAAATTACTATTTCTTAATTTTCTTACCAAGCTTTTAATTTCTTTCTAAAATTTTAAGTAGGAGTGGTATAGCTGGCTTATCAAATGCAAAGAAATCAAAGAAGATGAGGGCTAAAAAACTATCCTTTGGATTTAGCAACATGGAGTCCGTCAGTGACTCAGTGAAAGCTATTTCGGAATGACGGGCCTGGCTGAGAATGCAGAAGAGTAAGCGGGAGATGAGGAAATGGAAAGTGAAGCAGAGGCCGTCCAGGAAGAAGGGCACGATAGCAGCTGCTTGGTGAGGCCGAGTGAGAGGAGAGACTGAGCCGGGTGCTGGCTGGTTTCAAGATGGGAAAGATTTGGGCACAATAAGAACTCAATGAGAGAGAGAGAGTGGGGAGGGAGAGGGGCCTAAATGAGAGAAGGGAGAAGGAATAACATGCCTGACAAAAGGGTAGGAAGGAGGTAGGAGAAATGAGACTGAGAAAGGAGGAGGGACAGCCCTCGATTACAAAAGTTAGGAATTATAAAAGGAGGGATGAAATAGGTACAAATACAGGCAGATTATACATTTGGTATTGGAAAGATGAGGGTTCTCATATAGTGGCTTCTATTTTCTCTATAAAGGAAGAGGAAAGGTCTTCAGCTCGGCTGGAGCCGCTGAAAAGAATTGAGAAGGGTTCAAATAATCCTTGTGAAGAACAAAACAAAGGACTAATCACAGAAACAGTAAAACAGCTAGGCAGTTCTGAGGCACACCTGAGTGTGTGACCTTCATGAAATCACAGTGGCACACATCTGCCCTGCTGTACTGCAATCTTATGACTGGGAACATCTAGGAAAGGATGAAAAGCTTTCTAAAGACTCTGAGCCAGTGCTTAAGGCCCGACTGCTAATTGCCCATCTGAACAGTTTATCTTTAGACAAACAACTTCTGACAAGTAACTGGAGTTATGACGCTGAGACTCCATTTCTAAGCAGAAACATATAGAAACTAGCAGTAAACTGGAAATCTTTACCTTGATACGTGTGAACTATCACGTTCTTAAATCAGTAAGCACAAAGAGTCTTTGACTTGAAAATTAACTGTACAGAGTTATAATTTCTCAGGTCAAGTACATGCTTATTTCTTGATCATGAGGACTCACTTATGTGATGCTTCCCAGGCTTCCTCTTCTTCTAGGAGGTCTCTTATGATGTCTGAGCTGGAACTAAAAGGATATGTATGTCAGTATTGCCAGACAATAAAAAGACTGCATGGTTCGTTCCATTTATATAAAATTCTGGAAAATGCAAGCTAATCTACAGTGACAGGAAGCAAACCAGCAGACTAGTGGCTGCCTGCAGGGGGCGGGCTGGGCAAGGAGGGACGACAAAGTGGTGCAAGGAAACTTTGGGAGCCATGGACAGGTCACCATCTTTATTGTGGGGCTGCTTTCATGGTACACAAAGGACAAAACCCATTAAATTGTGTGCTTTAAATACTTGCAGTTTATTATACCTCAATTTCAATAAAGCTGTAAAAAAAACCTTAATTAATTAGCAATAATAATTTTTTAAAAATCACTAAAGCTTAAATAAATCCCTCAACATAAAACCTGGATTCAAATCAAAATGGAATACAATCGCGAGCCTTTTCTAATAACCTATAATGAAAAAGAATATGAAAACAAATATACGTATGTGTATGTATGACTGAAACATTATGCTGTACACCAGAAACCGACACATTGTAACTGACTAGACTTCAATAATAATAATAATAAAATGCATTAAAAACACTCCAAGAAAAAAAAATGATGCACCTTTTCAATTTCAACTGATGGCAACCAAAGACCAAGTCGTGTTTTAAAAATTGCACTCTAGTAAAGAGATTCACAAGAGATACTAAGTTCCTAGGTGGCGGTTAGTCCCTTTGTAACCAAAGTAAAGTCAAATGTAATTAATTGGAACCTGTGTTAATAATGGGATTTGTTATAACACAACCTAGCTTAATGTGCTGTGTAATCTTTGGCCTATCTGTGTAGGGCAGCAGAGTGAACAGGTGAGAGAGGACATATACTATTTCTTAAAAAAAAAAAGCTGTGTTAAGGCTTTTAGCATCATGTCCTTACCCAACTACATTCCTACCAAACATATACAAATAGGTTTTTTAAAGATGTACATCATATAAAAAAAGCATTTCTTTAGACATCCAATACACAGAATGTCATGGGCAATGTTAGGGACAACTCAGAAAAAGGGAGTCACTACCCCCAGGGTAGAGGAGGCTAAAACAAAGGAACAACTCTCAGGCAAGAGACAACAGGTTTGCAGATGTTAGTGCCAATCATATTTCTAATGATATTCTAATAGATAACAAAAGTTTAAAAATTATGAAGATTTCAAATGCCAGTGAATCATTCTCAACCACTTTCGACAAATCGCTCTGAAGCAGTGTTTGCCTGTGATGCCTGAATAGAAAAAGGGCAACAACAGACAAAAAATAGTTTTGTACCAAATGTTTTACTTGAGGGATTTCCCTGCCCCCCAACCCCCAGATTCCCAAGACCCTCAAGGAGCTACAAGCAGGGCACCCTTGGTCTGTGGTTTGTGAGTATACTGGGCGATGTGTGGGGATTCCATTTGCACTCAAGTGTAGTGACTCCAGTCCAGTGAGCGCAACAGTTCCCAGACATTTCGGGATGAGGATCTGCATGTGGTAGGAGCAATACTTTTAGGATTTGTGGCTTGAGAAAATATGTATCAATAATGAATTATTATAGATATAGTAATACTGTTAATTTATATTTTATCCTTTAGAGCAGCACATGTATACATTTAAAAAATAGTGGACATGCATTTGTGAGACCACTATATCTACAGACAATTCTTGATGTGCATGTACTTTTGCAGACCCACTGCAACCATTCAGGTCACTGGGCTGGGAACCACTGATCTAAGCTGTCAGGGTACCTCAGCACCTACTACTCTTTTACACTGAGGATGGTCCCCTGCTCAAATGCAAGTGTCCCTGAAAACAGTACACATTAATTTATCATCAGTCATTTTCACTTTAGTATAAACAAGCCTATAACAAGCTTTCCCATTAAACACCTAGCTAAACATAGTTCTCATTAAGAGGGAAGAGGGAAAAGCGGAAAACCCTTAAGGAGATGCAAGGCAGACTTCACCAACTCTATCTTCCTAAGAGACAGACCCACACAGCCACCCACTGGGGAGGGCTAATATCCACTGCCACTCCTGTTTCCAGAGAAGAGCTCTAAACCTCTCCGCTCGCAAGATCCCAGGCTTTGTTATTCCTCATTTTAGTGATAACTACTCCAACTTTATAAGGAAAACTGAAGCTGTTTATGTAACTTTTCCATTTCCTTCTCTCTACTGATGCCATCATCCACCCTTCTTTACCTAATAGAGCTACGGCAGTGTTTTTCCAATCATTTTTCATTATTGTCCTCACCCTCCACACCTAAGCATTTTCAGACATTTTTTCCCCTAATTGCCCCTCAATGAAATTTTAATACCACAAATATAATGTGTATCTGTTTACATATAATACATGTAGCATACACACACACACACATATGCTTTAAGATGGAGTAGGATTTTTTCACCATCCAGCACCTCCCCCTCAACCAATTCCCACCCCTTACGGGGCGAAATCACTCCTATTGGGAACACATGAGGTCAGGGAATGGGGGAAAGGTGGTGCTCAAGTGACGCTGGGTCCTGGCAGGTGTCACACAGCTAGAGAAATAGCAAGGTAAGCTTCTTGCTGACACCACCCTCCCCAAATCCATACATGCAATTAAAAAAAAAAACCAGCAAGGTTACAAAGCATCCCCACTATTCCAGCTAAGTAAGCAGGACGGCCAAGCCTGTCAAATAACCTAGTGGTCTGGGATCAATTTACCTACGGGCTTTTAAATCACCAGTACAAATCGCTGATTTGTTAAAGGAAAATATTTGCGGTGCATTAACGACACAAACCTAAGCGGTCTTTGCTACGCAACCCCAGTGAGAACAGACGGCAGAGGAGGTTTACAAAAAACACGTCTCAGAAGTGGTCTACAATCTCCTCTTCCTCCACACGTCACCACCACTGGCCAGCACGATGCGTGGCTCCCCGATTTCCTCAGTTCTCATCACCTTTCTTTCTACTCCAACTCCAGCCCCGCCGCTAACCTGATGAAAACCAATCACTAAACCGAGTGATTCAAAGTTTGGGACGTTTAAAGCTTACCTAAAGTGAAATTTCAGCATATCGTGCTACATTTGCTGCTCCAATTCCAGTCACCCCTAAGACACTGCAAGGTGATGCTAACACAACTAAAACAGCAGACACAGAAACGTCCATTCCTTTCTAAGGTAATGTACTCGCTATATTCTACTCAAAAGCCGCATTTCTGAAATTGAACACACAGTTTCATAACAGGATTTTAGAAAGGGATGATTCGGCATGACACAGTGTTACTAAAACGATCACTCTCAGAGCTCTTCCTTGTGGATAGCGGTAACTAATATTTTTGAAATCTTAGTCATTTTAATATGCCTTGGAGATCAAAAATTCTTTTCACACACTTTCAAGATATCTAAACAATCTTCCACAGGAGAAAATAAATTACTCACTCCAGGATACCCAGGGTCAGGGCACACACAGACCTACACAGCTGTAGCTTTAAATTCTCAGACAAGAAACTTTTTCAGAGTAGACTTCAGACACCCAACTATTTGGGTTTGAAACACTCTGGTGGACCATGATTTAAGAAGCCAGATGAATGTGAAGTCTGGTACATGAAAGTTACAGCTCCCCATGGAAGGGTATTCAAATCGTGCTCTGATGTTACCAACCAGACAAGGCTAGAGTGGATATAATTATACAAATTAAATACAAGAGACAAAGGTTCATAGGCACAAAATATGATTCTTGAGTTCTATCGGATTCCCAGCCCTTATTCAGGAAGATTCTAGTAGATGTATTTGGAACAACCACACTTGATTTTTCATGTAATTTAGACTTTATTTTTAGCTCAAACTTTCAGAAGTGTACATTCAACTGTTTTTGTTTGCTTGCTGGTTGGTTGGTCTTTGGCCTTTCCTATATAATTTTACTCCTGTCATTCCTGATCAAAAGTAGCAGCATAACATCTTACCAGGTGAAGGAAAACTCTTTGCTTATTTCTTTTGTAGCCTTTTATTTATTCTAACAGTCAAATTTTACCATCAAAACTGAACAGTAACATACCAAATACCTCTGGCAAAGGCATGACTGGTCATACTACCCAGAGGAAAAAACAAAATCACAGATTTTAGTGTCAGACAAAGTTAAGGTTTCAGTCCTGTTTCTGTCACTAGGTATGTAAGTAACCCTGGACAAGTTACTTAATCTTTCCAAGTCTCAACTTCCTCACCTGGAAAGTTAGGATTATAACACATGTAAGTTCATAGGAATAATTAAAAGGTTAATCAATATAATACATAGGATGTTTAGCATGGAGCTTGGCACACCGTAAGTGTTCAATAAATGTTGCTTCCATTTTCATAAGCCCGATTTGGGTCTGAATTACCCGAATAACTGCCTCAGCACCATGCTTCAGTGAGCCCTAGGAGACCAGATCACCACGTGCTCTGCTTTAATCTTTGGTTTCTGCTGTTCCTATGACACCAGGGAGCAAGTTCATCAGAACCTGCTATTTATCCAGCATGGCAGGTACACAGGGTACTCTGGGGTAGGCAAAATGCAAACACCTGCTATAAAAATCCTGCGGACTAAAGGTGACTTACGAGTGGAATTTTTTATTATCTAGTAGTAACTTCCTGCCAATCCCTCCCCAACTCCCAAATCTCTTCTCATAACTGGCATTAAATTGAGCATGGCTGAGTATATTCAACTTAAAAAAACAAACAAAACCTCTCTAAGGGCAGATCACTGGAGGACTGATGGACAGCACACAATACCCACCAGACAACAGTAAACACCAGCAGCTCCCATGAACCCTTCCCCAGACCCCTATTTTCAGTAATCTGTTCTGTAGGGTGAGCAACAGCTTATATGACCAATACTTCAGCAGTTGGCTGACAATAATGCATTTAGAACACTAAACACCCTAGGTTAAAAAAATCACTTGTTGACAATAACAAAAATTACCATTTTGTGAGCAACTACTTCTACAGAGATCATCACAATGATCTCTCTAGACACAGTAGCTTT